TTTGTCAGACTACTCCAACATAGCATTTTAGTTTACAGGTTTTATACAGGCAGTGAAGATTCAGTATGTGCAAAAAAATTACAACAAAGCTTGGGTGTAAATCTAATTACAGTTTATAGGGGCATAATTGCTAACCTTGGCAGGCATTATCTTATGTATAAGAAAGGCAAAGACCAGGGTTATTTATCTTTTTAAGGAATATAGTGTCTTGGGCAAGAGATGTGGAACTGTGTGTGCTCTATTTTGTTTATTGTCTTTAAGGCATTCTTTTGGGGAGCTGCATTTTGTAATGGAGTTTTTGGGACTGCAAAATTATGCTGGCAAGCAAACATGGCCTCTAATGTTTGCTACCCTGTCTCACAATAGCAACTTACAAATAAATTGCTTGCCTTAGATTCTCAAAACCTATTGTGATAGGCAGCCTCCAAGATAGCTCCCTCTGGCCCCACCCTCCTGCTATTCACATCCTTGTGTAGTGTTCTCCCACAAGATATGGAGATTGGTCTATGTGACCAAGAGAAGATGGTAGCAATGATGGTATGTCACTTCTGATATTAGGATATAAAAGACTGAAGTTTTTTTGGTCTTTTTTTTGAGACAGAGCCTCAAGCTGTCCCCCTGGGTAGAGTGCGGTGGCATCATAGCTCACAGCAACCTCCACCTCCTGGGCTCAAGCAAGTCTCCTTCCTCCGCCTCCCAAGTAGCTGGGACCACAGGGCGCCCGCCACAATGCCCGGATATTTTTTGGTTGCAGCCGTCATTGTTGTTTGGTGGCCGGGGCTGCATTTGAACTCATCACCTTAGGTGTATGTGGCTGGTGCCTTAGCCACTTGAGCCACAGGCGCCGAGCCAAAAGACTGAAGTTTTGTCATAGTCACTCTCAGTCACTCATTCTGGAGAAAGCCAACTACCATATTGTGAGGACACTTAGGCAGCCTTGTGGAGAAGCCCATGTGGTGAGGAACTAAGGTACCCAGTCAACAGCCACCTTAACTTCAACAACCACATGAGTGAGTGTGGAAGCCCTGATGACTGTAGCTCTAGCTGACACCTTGACTGCAACTTCTTTTGAGACACTGACTCAGAACAAGCCAGCTGAGCTGCTTCCTAATTCTTGACCCTCAGAAACTATGTGAGATAATAAGTGTCTATTGTTTTAAGACACTAAGTCAGGTGTCCTCAACTGCGGCCCACGGGCCACATGTGGCCCGCCTAGGACATTTATCTGGCCCACTGGGTGTTTTTGCTGCCACTGCCTGTCCTGCTTAGCAGCCGACTCGTCCGGGGGCCCACAGTCCAGCCCTCCAACAGTCTGAGGGACAGTGAACTGGCCCCCTGTTTAAAAAGTTTGAGGACACCTGCACTAAGTGTTGAGGTAACTTTTTACACACCAATAGAGAACTAATAGAGCAACAGACATCACACTTTCTGCTTGCTGAGGAAACCTAGAGACAGTAATAGAGTAGAGAAAGGGATGACAGGGCCTGTCCTGAGATGGCCTGGCAACTGGCTTTGTCACAAGGGGGGGTTTGGTAGACCTCAGTTACTCCACAGTGCCATACTGTGACCAAAGGAGGGTGAAGCAAAA